TGTGGAACCACTACTCAATACTTAATTCCTATTACTAAAAACAGGAAGTCCTTTAAAGTAATCAGGGGGCCAGCACTGTGGCACAGCTGGTTAAGCCACCACATGGGACACCTGCATCCCATATAGATACCAGTTCAAGTCCCAGTTGTTCCACTTCCTATCCAGCTCACTGCTGATGTGCCTAGGAAAGAAGATGGATCAAGTACTTAGGCCTCTGACACCCACACAGGGACCCAAATAGAGTTCCTGGCTCCTAGCTTCAGCGGGGCCCAGCCCCAGGTATTGTGGCCATTTGGGGAGTGAACCAGTAGATGGAAGATAGATCTCCCTCTCTCCCTCTGTGTGTGTGTAGGGGGGTGAGGGTGGGGGTGTCTAACTCCGCCTTTAAAATAAACCTATCTTTTCTTTTTTAAATTAAGCAGTAAGTAGGAAATTATTATAATATGCCTGTAAAAAAGTCACTATGACAATGATGGTTAAAACACTTTCAGGCAAATTAACTGCTTCTTTGCATGGCATATAAAGCCCTTTAAATATAGCTCCCATCTCCTCTCCAGCCTTCTCTCCTGCCACCTACAAAATCTTTAATGCAGTCCTAGGTCTCATAAGCAGGACAGATTGAAAGATGAGATCTTGACAGCAACCAAAGCAGGTCAAACCAAAGGTCACGGTGAGAAAGAAGTCTTCAGCTACAACTTTGGATACAAAAGTGCTGTGTGAGAAAAGACAGAAAAAGGAGGAGAAAAAGAAAATGAAGAAAAGGAGAAAAGAATAAGAATATGAATAAATGAAGAAGTGTGAATAAATGAACACAAAAGGCTCAAAAGCCAGTAACATGATTGACTAGGTCAAGTTTGCAGGTATTTAAAAGGAAACACATGAACCAGCAGCTATCCTTCATGCCACAGTTCATTCTGTACTTCTCTTTATGAGACAAGAGCAGATTGAAAAATAAGTTAAAAATAATTTGTCTCATCCAAGGAAAAACCAAACATGGAATATTAAAACAAATATATCCAGATATCAATGCCAATAACTAAATGAGGAAAGAAAGCATTAACTACACATAATTCCTGAAAGCTTGGTTTAATAGCAAATAATAGTTGGGAATTTTGGTTTTCCCTAACATATTTATTCTAACCTTTCAGATTATAATAAAAGAGCACACTTTGGGGTCAGCGCTGTGATGCAGCAGGCTAATCTACCAAGTGATTATTGGAGTGTCAGTTTGAGTCCCAACTAATCTGCCTCTGATCCAGCGCCATGCTAATGTACCTGGGAAAGCAGCAGAGAATGGCCCAGGTACTTGGATCCCGGCCACCCACACAGATGGAGCTCTGGGCTCCTGCCTTCATCGTGGCCATTTGAGGAGTGAACCGGCGAATGAGGAAGGATGGATCTCTCTCCGTGTGTGTCACTCTCCCTTCCAAATAAATAATAAATCTTTTTTAAAAAGAGAACATTATGCTGGACCTGTTCTGAGGCAGATTCTCAGAGCTACAAGAACCCCTTTTATATTAGTAGTTCACTTAAAAAGTTTAAGTTTGTGCCTATTTAACCAGGAATCTAACTTAGCACACTTGTAAAATCCACAGCCTCCCTCCCAGACAATTGTGAAAACATGGAAGCAAAAATGTTAAACTCTGTTGTAAGTTCACAGAAAAATTTCATCTAAATTTTAACCAAACTATACCTGTCTTAATGAAATTCAAGGAAAAAAAAAAAAAACAACACCTCAATGCAGGGGAGGGGAGGTTATGTGTGGTCATTATATTATAGTTACTGATTTCAGGGGCCATGTTTGTTTGAATCCTGATTCAACTCCACACTTTACCTTACAGAAATCACCAAAACTCAAAGAAGTGTCAGCCTCCTGATAGGCAAAATAAAATGACAGGATTAAGAAGCCTGAATATTCTTTCCAATTTAAACACCGCTTCAGAGTTTGAAAACCTTTGAAATCAAAGTCCCCCTTAAAGGTTCTGCGAACAGAGAATGAAATAAAGGCTTTCAGAAAAATGAAGCATCAAATTATAGGTCTGTTGCTTTGAAAAGATCATTCAGTGAGTCTTGAAATCTGTGCCTAATGACTTTCAAACTACAGGGTGAAGGGCCACAGAATTGTTCCTGTGTCTCAGCAGCTCCCTGTGAGCGACCTTCCAGCAAGCTGTGTTCTCAGAGAATACGGATCTCCAAAATTACTCTGTGAAGCAGCTGCTAATACTCACAAGACACACAAGTGTTCAGCCAGTAAGGTAAACCACATCTGGCTGGATTTTATTTATCAACTGGTCTCAAAGACTGTCTACCAGTATTTCAAATGAGCATTAAAACAGCAACAGTAGAATAATTCTGACTCGGCACAGGGGTGGTTCCATCCAGCCTATGGGCCAAGTAATGTCTTCCCAATCATTTGGTCTGGCCTTGCCAAGGCAACCACAGGAGGAACTCAAAATATAATATATCTATAGCAGGCTAAATCTGTAAGTTGATAATGGTGTATGGCCTTGAATGATGTTACACATATACAAATGGCCCTTGGCAACAAAAGGTTGCCCAGCCAGACCTACAGCAAGGGCTGCTTTCAGAATTCTGGAGTCTGAGAGACCAGAGAGATCATTCCCAACCTTTTGATTTTACAGAAGAGCATATCATTTATTGAGCTAAAATTCTTTAGAATTAACTGGCAGAGTTTGTAAGTGAGTCTCTCAAGCTTTTCTCACACACACACACACACACACAGTGAGAGAGACAGAGACAGAAAACCATTTAGCTTATTTGAACAGATTTTCTTCCTAAAAGCAAGCCTAAAGTAACAAACTTTTGCTGTCTCGGCTTAGATGCTTAACATGTTGGAAATTCACTGCACACAAGGGATCTAAGAAGCACTACTGCTCACTGCACTACCCCAGGAGCTCTGACCATCACAGGAAAAGTAAATATTACTCCCTTCATACTGGTACCCCCCTCGGCAGAACACTTTTATTCCGACACTGAAAATGTACCATGACAAGGACAGGCATTTGGTGCAGCAGTTAAGACACAAGTTGGGATGCCTGTATCTCACACTGGAGTGCCCATTCAAGTCCTGTCCTGATTCCAGTTTCCTGCCGACCTGCACACCGGAAAGCAACAGATGATGGCTTAAGTGCTTGGGTCCCTACAGCCCATGTGGGCCACCAGGGCTAAGTTCTGGACTCCTGCCTTTGGCCTGGCCCAGCCCTGGCTGTTATGGGTTTTGGGAGAATGAACTATAGATTTCTCTCTGTTTCTGTCTCTTTGGTTTTCAAATTAAATGAAAAATAAATAAATTTATTTTAAAAAGAAAATGTACCATAACAACTATCAGCAGTGGGAAAACAAACATTTCACTTCCCTGCGGCCAAGGAGTGAAATCTGCATTCTTACCTATGCAAATTACACCAGCGGTTCACCTAAACCAATTTTCGCTGAGTAAATCAAACATTCTAACAGGAGCGAGTTTCCTATACTCACTCAATGAAGCTAGATTATTCTAGAACAGGGTGGGGAACACCTGGCCCGCGGGCTGTGGGAGGCCTGTGAAATCATTTGGTCTGGCTCTGTCCAGGCAACCACAGGCAGGACTCAAAATTCATTACATCTGTAGGAGGCCAACTTTTAGTTGATAATTTTGGATGGTCCCTGGATGATGTTATAAATATCCAAACAGCCCTTGGCAGAAAAAAAGGCTCCTGGCCTCTGCTCTAGAATCTAACAATGTGCTACATTTCACCGGGTGCCGACTGGCATTTTACCATCAAATTACACTGGAAGCCTCGGCTTTGCAGAACAGGTGTTCAACCCCTCCCCTTGGCTTCCTCAGAGTTAAGATGACCACATGGCATTTACTGAATACAGTGAACGTGAACCTAGAAATCGCGCACTGGCCATCGTGAGAATCACCACGGCAAGTGACACTGCGGAGATTAGAGGAATGCAACAGAAACATCAACTCAGACGTATACACTGGGTACAAATTCCACCAAGGAGAGCAAAGAACACCCAACACCATGGAACGAAGAAGAGCAAAATCCACCCGCTCATGAATAAGAACTTAAAAGCGACATCCAGGTTACCTAAAAACGTGCCACCGGGTAAGGGAACCCCTCTAATACCAGGACCTCAGCCCCCTGGACCCATTCGCTACACAAAACCTGCATCAGACACTGACCTGGAAATTCAGTTTTTCCACTGTTTCCTATGTCTACAGAAACAAAACGAGGAGTGAGCTCTGCAGTCTAAGAAGTAACATTTTCTACAGTCCGGAGCGCGCATTGAGAAAGAATCCCGCGGGCCGCTGGGGTCAGGGTCACCGCACCATCACCCAGCCAGCACCCGCAGCACTGTGGCACTGGCGCTGGTCCACACCGCCTCCAACACCCGGTGACTCTCACGCTTTACCTCCGCGTCGGGGACAACGGGCGATCCCGAGTTCGGGGCGGGGGACACCCGCACCGGCCTTTCTACAACCGCTGCCCGCCCGGGGGACTCTGAAGCGGGCGGCTCGCCGACCTCATTCGGCACCTGCGCTGCACAGTACCCTCAAGGGGCACCTGCTTCACCGCCCGGACGTGTCGGGGTCGGCGAGGGTCCCGCGGCGCCCCGGGCACGACTGGCCCCCGAGGTGACAGGGCGATGACGCCGGGGGCAGCTTTCTGCCGCGCCGCCGTGGCACGGGCTCCGGGCAGCGCCGGGCTACCATCAGCCCTGCCGACAAGCCAGCCGCGCGTCCCAAGCAGGACCCCCGAACGCTTGGGCCTCAGTTTCCCCACCAGTGCAACGGGCGCAAAGCCGCCGCCGGGCGGGACGCCTGACCCGAAACGAAACTAAACTCAGTCGCTCGCCGGCATTTCCTGGGTCTGCGCAGCACCTCCCGCTTCCCCCGGCCGACCCGGGCGCACGGCCCAGCCCTGGAGCGCCCAACGGGCCCGCAGCCTCCCAACGCCCCCAGTCCGGCCCGGCCCCGGGCGGCCACTCACGCGTAGGCATGGTGACCCCGAGCCGCGCTCGCCGCCGCTCCGAGGCTCAGCGGGGCCGCGCAGGCCGCGCCGACGGCGTCATGACGGCCGGCGCCGGGCCGCGGAGGCGCAGACCAGGCGAAGGGCGAGGAGGCAAGAGCGGAGCGAACGGACGCGGACACCGCAGCTCCCGCGACGAAGCCAGCGACAGGGGGCCCGCGGCGGCCCCGCTCCGCGCCGGACGACGCGCTGGGCGTGCCCACGCGCGTGACGTCAGCACGCCGCCGCCGTCCGGCTCCGCCCCCGGGGGCGGAAGCGCCCGGGCTGGGAGCGGGTGTCGCGGGGTGGCTGCGGGCACCGGGTAGTCTGCGGGCCGGGCTGCTCGCACTTCCTTTTACTTTCTAGTCCTGGTGGCTTACGCGGCCCTCGTTTTTATCCACCCGTACTCGGGGCGGGCCCCTCTGTGAGTGTGAGCACGGCGGCCTCGAGGGCAAAGACTTGTGTCTCTAAGCCCTTTGGCGGCGCGCGGTGCAGTCCGCCTTCCCCGAGACCGGGAGGTCCCTTGCAGCCGGGCCTGTGCGGTTTCCTCCCGCTCCCGGCGACTTTCGCAGCGACCCGGGCAGGGCTCCGCGGTGTCCTCACGGGCATCGAGCTGAGCGTGCCGCGAGTGCGAGCTGCAGAGATGTGAACGCGCCCGGGTGACCTCGCAGAACTGCTAAAAAGCGGGTCACCCTGGGTCGGTCACCTGTGCGGGTGGATTGCTTGCACGTGTGCATTGGAGAGCCTGTGTCCTGGGGAGAGGCGCCGAATGCCCGTTTGGAAATGATGTTCCGTAGTGAGAGCGGATAGGAGCCAGGACGCAGAAGGCACACGGTAGAGAGCTGAAGCACAGAGGGCCGGAGCAGAGTTCTTCAGAAACTACAAAAGTAATGCACATACTGGGACAGGCAGCCGTCTGTGTCCGTGGGCTCCACCGCAGCAGATTCCACCAAGGATCGGTGGTTTAAGCCACTGGCCTGCAGTGCTGGCATCAGTACGGGTGCCAGTTCCAGTGCAGCTGTTCCACTTCCCATCCAGCTCTCTGCAAATGCACCTGGAAAAGCAGTGGAAGATGGCCCAGGTGTTGGGGCCCCTGACTCCCAAGTGGGAGACCCCAGTGGAGTTCCAGGCCCCTACGTTTTTTTGCAGCCCGTTTGGGGAGTGAACCAACAAATGGAATCTCTCCCCCTCTCTCCCTGTAACTGCCTTTCAAGTAAATATTCTTAAAAATCCACACACAAAAAAAGCGTACGAAACATGCACAAACCTTTTTCTTGTCAACAATACAGCATGGCAACTATCATGTGTAGGTTTGTTTTGTTTTGTTTTGTTTTTTGACAGGCAGAGTTATACAGAGAGAAAGGTCTTCCTTCCGTTGGTTCACCCCTCAAATGGTCACCACTGCTGGCGCACTGCCGATCCAAAGCCAGGAGCCAGATGCTTCCTCCAGGTCTCCCATGTGGGTGCAGGGCCCAAGCACTTGGGCCATCCTCCACTGCACTCCCGGGCCACAGCAGAGAGCTGGACTGGAAGAGGAGCAACTGGGACTAGAACCCCGGTGTGCCGGCACCATGTTGTTATCTTATATAGGGTATCTGAGCATCCGTGGATCCTCTAGGGTCCTAGAATCAAACCCCTAAAGATGCCAACAGACAAGTGAAAGGAAGAACAGGTGAAACAGGAATTAATAAACAACTGTACAATCAAGCTTGCTGTTCATCCTGTAACCATCCCATTCTCTTCGTCAGGAGAGTGGCACTCAGGAGCAGGGTAGTCACCGTGGTAGAGGAGTCACGGATGAGCAGCTGGCTGGGGGCCTCCATGCCGGTGCCAAAGATGGTAAGTGAGAGAGAGCTCCTAGTCTTACTGCAGAAAAAGAATCCCTGGATCTGTTTCCTGCTGGCTTGGAGCAATAGAGACATCTGCTAGTTATGTAACTCCAAAGTCAGAGCAAGAAAAACCCCGGTGCTGGGAGAGTGGTAGACAAGGTGGGAAGCGAGGTTGTTTTCTTGCAGGGTGAGGGTGGTGACAGAAGGATGTGAGTTTCTCCTTGCGGTACTGAGCTTGGGGTGAAAGCCAAGGGAGACATCTTAGTGACTAGATTGGAAGGCAGGTGGCCTGGGCATGCTGCCTAAAGGTGGGCTGATGGATCTCAGGGAGGGAGATTTGGAATCTTGGATTCACAGGCAGAAGCCGAAGCCGGGTGTCAGAGAGAGCCCTGTGAGGGTGGATGTGGAGCTGGCAAAGGTGCAGAGAAAGATCAGAGATCGCAGTGCCCCAGCAGTCAAGGAAAGATGTAGTCCCAAAAGGCAGGCATCTGTGCTTAGCACGAGTCAAAAAGGTACAAAGGTGTTGAGGTGGACTGGTCTGCCAAGTTTTGGTTTGCTCTGTGTTCTAATCCCCTTGGTCTTTAGGTTTTGTATTATTGCCAAAAACACGATCAACAACCATGTGTTCTGAGGAAGGACAGATGGAAGTCAGGAATAACGGGGTCATAATAACTGGGCGATATGAAGTGTGCTTTTTCCTCTCCTGCTTTGTGCACACAGGATCTGAGGAGCACTAGCGCCGTGGAGACCCTGGTTTCCTACCAAGCTCTTCCAGAGTTCCACCTGTGCAGCTCCCTCACTCCCCACGTGTGAGAGCAGTGATTCCACCACTACCCGTTGTTGGTTATCTGAGAGGCAGAGGCAGAGAGAGAGGGAGAGACAGAGAGGTCTTCCATCCGCTGGTTCACTCCCCAAATAGCCGCAAGGGTGGGAGTTGGGCCAATCTGAAGCTAGGAGCCAAGAGCTTCTTCTGGGTCTCCCACGTGGGTGCAGGGGCCGAAGCAACTTAGGCCATCTTCCACTGCTTTCCCAGGGCATAGCAGAGAGCCGGATCAGAAGTGGAGCAGCCAGGACCTGAACTGATGCCCATATCAGATGCCAGCACCACAGGCAGAGGCTCAACCTACTATGCCACAGCACCGGCCTCAGGTGCTTTTTCTGAGACCCCTATCCCCTTTTGCAAGCACCCTTTCCCTATCCATGCTTTCTGCACCAGTGCTTCTCTCTTGAAGCCCAAGCTGGACTGGTAGGAGTTAGCACTGTCCATCTCTGTCAGTCCCGTACTTCCCAGCCCTTGCTTGGACATGGTGTGGCAGGCATGGGGATGGATAGCTAGACCCCCCTTCAACAAAGGGCGCAGTGCCTTTTGGCATTTGTGGCATTTCAGTATTGAGCTCAGTGTTTGAGATCTTACTTTGTCAGGGTGCACCGCAGGTAGAGTGGCCTTTCTAACATGCAAATCTGACAATACCTCTCACCTGCGTAACATTGTCAATGGCTCATCCAAGTGATCAATCCATGATCCAGACCTTTCAGTTCCACAGAAAAGCATAGGAGGCCTTTCAAGGCCTGGTTTGCAGACCTCTCCAGTTTCCCTCCATCACACTCTGTGTTCCACTTTTCCCCGGCCCTGAGGATCTCACAGTTCCAGAACCCGTCATGTAGAACTCTTCCGCTCTTCTGCCCATGCCGTTTTCCCCACTGAGTGGCCTTTCTTAGACCCCGTACGACTTCTGTTCTTCTATCCCAGCACCTTGTGAGTGGTTAGCGTAACTAGGAATGGCCCAGGACCCAGTGATCACCCTCCTGCGTATGCTCCCTGGAAAGTTTCCCAGAAAGCCCCATGAGAAGCATGGATAAGAAGGTTCACACAAGCATGGCTCATGCTAGTGGAGAGTTGGAGGCCCCCCAGATATTTGTCATTTGTAAAATATGTGGATTCATAATACTCTCGATGCGTATCAGCAATATGGCTTGGTCTTGAATATAGAGTTGAATGAGGAATCTAAGAAATTGATGTTTTTAGCACAATAATACTTGTGTAACTTGAAAATACACATATAAAATGTGAGTTTTTACAGTTGTGCATAAGGAGTGGAGAAGAAAAGGAGTGGGTATAGGGAAGTCAAGAAACAAAATTAAGGGGCCGGCACTGTGCCATAGTGGGTGCAGCCAGCATCCCATTTGGACGTAAGTTCAAGTCCAGGTGCTCCACTTCCAACTCAGCTCCCTGCTGATGGCCTGGGAAAGTAGTAGAAGATGGCTCAAGTGCTTGGATCCCTGTGCCGATGTGGGAGACCTGGAAGAAGCTCCTGGCTCCTGGCTTCCGATCGCCCCAACTCTGGCCATTGTGGTCATTTGGAGAGTGAACCAGTAGATGGACGTTTCTCTCTCTCTCCCTCTCTCCCTCTCTCCCTCTCTCCCTCTCTGTGTCTGTAACTCTGCCTCTCAAATAAATAAATTTAAGTACAAAGAAAGAAAAAGATTGACAAAGGAGCTGCTTTGTACAAGCAGATGAAAATGTACAAGGAATGACAAGTGTGATTGCTGTGCCTGATCTTAAGAAAAGGACAGAAACTATTTTCAAGTATCATTCACTCCAAAAAGACTTTACTGGGCCACTGAGCTGACGTTAAGTTACTTTTCTCAGGGTCCCAGTGCTGTTTCCATCATATCTCTGAAAGGACTCATTGCCTCTCTTGGAGCACGGCAGGTTGCAGGCGCTCCCAGAAATAACGAGGGAAGATTCTAGCAAAGGCTGCTGAGACCTTGCCTGTGCGACTGAGGTGAAGAAGGTGTGCAATTCGGGCATTACCATACATGTGTTTATATCTGCCATCTAGTCAGTTCTGCAACATCTGTTACATGATGCCCTGCATGTTAGTCAATGATAGTACCAGTTTACTGACTTACAATTCTTCAAAAACTAATCTCAAGTTCAAATCAAGAAAAAGCTCACTAGCATGTAAATAGAATACATGTTTATGTTTAGTGACACATTTTCAGAATATATGCCATTAAAAATAGAAGTTTTATTTTGTCCCTTAGTGTTTTATTCCTCCTCCAAAAATAATGAAAAGATCAAAATAATATTAGAGGGCATTTTCCACATCCTCTTAAGCATTAACTTTTAGCTCGAATTACCCAAAATAGCTTTACTGCCAGTTTAGTCCAGTGTTTGCTCCAATTTCTAAATTCTGCACTGATGATTCACTTTTAATTAGACCACATTTTAGTGCTTCAAAGGTAATTGCCAGCAAATTTAGAGTTCATAGGAAATAATGATAAAGATATTTACTTCTCCCAAAGACTTATTCCAATAAGTATTAATAATGCAGTTTGAAGTGCTTGTTTCATAGTTTTCTTCCTCACTGAATATTTCTACCAGTGAT